TGGTTTTTCTAGTGATGGTCTAGAACAACAGTCAGGGGTACTACTTGTACAAGTGTATTTTATTTACTTGTATAGGTAAACAAAAAATTGGCTTAGTTATGTCTCTAAGACATTCAGATTTTTTTACTTATATACATGTAAGTGAAAAAGTCATCCTATCTTCTTTTCTTGAATTCTTAGGACTTTTGTCAGTCCTTTGCAGATGTCTTAACTAATCATTTAAGTGTAATTTCATGGACAATGAAAATCTCATTTGTCTGTTATCTTCAGAACACTGCTCATTTACAAGCCCCCCAAGGAGCAATTTTTTAAGGCGTTGTGCAAAGATCTTAGCAAATACTTAAGATCTTTACGCAATCAGTTTCTTTGTTGAATTAATGAGATGAAACATTGAACTCTAACCAAAAATTATGAGCTAACCTAGGTCTGGGAAAAATCATTAAAGGCATGTTTTACATCTCAAAACTTGAGAATTTTTGTGAGATTGTAAAAAAAAATTACTTATACAAGTGATTTTTTGAGAAAATTAAGGGGAGATTATTCAAACATTATAATTAACTTATATAAGTATATTTATTTTACTTCTTCAAGTAAATAAAGATTACTTGTACAAGTAGTACCCCTGACTGAACAAAGCAGGGTTAATTTTCATATTACATTAATATTTTTAATATATTCTCGCCTTGAAAAATGATTGTTGGTTTCCCCAAACCTGACCAGGGCTATTTTAAACGGCCAGGGCGTTTATTTTTTTTGACTGAATGAAGAAATCAAAACTCTGTGTCTTGTTCCGATCCAGCAATGTTAATCAAATATTTTTTTCATACAGGTTTCAGTTTTGTTGTTTAGAAGCATAACAATGTCATGGTAATATTTTTTCCTGTCTTGGTATCTAGATTGGTGAAGCGCTTAACTGATCGGAAAGATAACAATGATTTAAAGCGTTTCGCTCCCCTGTTTTTAGATCCCCCAAAATGGCCACCTCCGCACCAAGCACCAATATTCTATTACGATTGAATACATGGACACCAGTTCTTTATGTTATTAAAGTCAATTCAGTTTATACCAGTTGTCAAGAAAATAACTATTTGTTCTTCACACAATCTATAGCAACAATATTTGATACACAAAAAAAAAGAAAACCTGCCTGACGGGCCTTCAAAATTTTCCAATGTATGGGGAAACCAACAATCATTTTTCCCTGGCCTTAGTAATGTAAACCTTTTTGAATAGATTTTGCTATTCCAAAATTATAAATTTTTAACATAGATTCAAAGTGTTTCATTTTTTATATTTCTAAATGTGCCCTTTTTTATAGATGGTGAAGCTGTAAGTGAAGAAGAATGCTCTGGCGATGAAGAGGATTTGGAATTACTGAAGGCAGAAGGTGGAGAGGATGTCAAAACTAGTGGGAAAAGAAAACGAAAGAAAAAGCCTGATATCTTACAGAGGTACAACAAAATGTAGAGTATGCAAATGAAGCTGCCAAACACTAGCCTTCTTGCCAAGTTGAGTGGAACTAATAAACAATATTAAAGGATTAGTGTACAATCATGATGCATCTTTGAATGATACATGTACCGATAAACACTTAATATAAAAAATAAAGACATTTCATAAATCTTTACGAAGTGTTAAATAATTTTTCTAATATTCATAAAATAGGAAAGCAAGCTTTTAATATTATAATCAGATTAAATATCATGGTAAAGTTAAAAGCTTTGTTAAGAACTGTAAATTAAAATGGACACTTTGACAAATTTTATCATACTGTAAAGATGCAATTGCCAAATGAATAAAGAACAATTAAGAACAAATTGAATTAATCAGCTTTATGTTTTTTAGTAAAAAAAATTATTGCCTGTCTATAATTTTTTTCTATACACTGATTTTTTTAATCATGACTTGTTGAAAAGGCATAATTTATCACATCATTTTTGTTCTGCAAAACACAAATAATTCAATATATATATTTTGATGTATTTTTTTTTCAAAACTTTAAAATCACATGCGGTCCGAGTACACAGTTATTTCGTAGTGCATTTCTTTTAGACAATAAATTAAAATTAAAAAAATCCCACCTGCGCTTTCTCAATAATATTTTTACAGTGTGTTTTACTACTTTTGGGACAAATTATATCAAAATTATAGAAAACTTCATCGGCTCTAACTCAAAATATGGACAATTTTATGTTAAGGGGGTCTTGAAATCTTTTGACAGCTTCCGAAGTGCTAATTTTTAACCTTTTTCAGCTGGACCAAATCACTACTTTACTTTAAAATTCATGACCCAAATTTTTTTACAGTGTCATTTCACCCCCTTACTTGCTATTTGAGGCATAAAACATGGAGAAATAAATTTGGAAGGGGTATAAACAAAATTGGCAAGTAACACACTGTCCACACTAAGGACTATATTCGTGGACAACGAAAATCAAAGGACGATAACTGTGTACTCGGACCTAATAGGATAGAAAAAGTTGACCAATCTTAATAAAACTTGGTATGACCAAAGCTTAATAAATTATAAGACTGCTTACAAAGTTTCATGGCAATAGGATATATATTATAGACAATATGATTAATTCTATATTCAACTTTGCGTGTTAAATTTAGACGTTAAAATTGAAAAATTTCAACTATCAACATTTGGGGCTTTTAAAATTCAAATTTTGCAAAAAAATACTTTTAAAATGCCTTAATATATAATATATCATGTATTAAAAGCAAAAGAGTACTCATTTGATATATCAGACTTAGCATAATTATTCAAAAGTCAAATCTATATGAGCCTGTGCCTAAAAATGGAGGTTTTCCAATGAAGGGGGGCCTTACATGAAGATGTAATATTTTCCAGCAATTTTATATTTGTGAAGCTTTTTGGTTATAAATAATCCTTACATATGTATTTAATGTACTTTAAATGGAAAGAAAACTTACAAATAACATATCATATTAGTTTAAAAGGGTCTTAGGCCAAGTAAGACTGAAAATAATTTAGGGTCAATTTAGGCCGTAACACATATTTACATTTAAATATGCATATTGAAGCTGTAGGAAATAAAAATTTGTGTCTTTTCTATCATTTCTATACTCAAGTGACATGATACAATAAATCTGAGCACAAAAAGACTTGCATTCAACTTTTTGTGCGGACAGTATGGTCTGATACAAAGATTTTTCACTTTTTAGTGAAAAATTTGCATGCAATTTTAGTCTCAACAGGCTTATATTTGAACCACATGCTATCCTACAGAAGAAAAGAAAGATATTATGTGAAATGAAACAGGTACAACAGACATTGTTAAGTTCTTTTTATACAAATTTAGTGAGATATTTATGATGGACTTCAACTTTTATGTACCAAGCTCCTCACATTTAACTTGATCCAAACAGGGCGTTAGACGAGGGTCATTTATACAACACATTTTGCACATATTGTCTGAGATAAACTTCTTTTCTGTAGATTCAGAGTTCACAAATGAGTAACACAACTGGATTAAAGCATAGAAACACAAATATTTACACATGAAAACCTGTCAGATAGAAAGTCAGAATGCCACTTATGCATCAAAATTGAAAAAGCTATGAAATGCTTATTTTGACCATATAATGCCAAAATTGGTCATTTTTGCAGAATTTCTATGAAATAAAAGTTTAAATCCTTTAGTTTTATGCTATTTGACAAATTGACACCATCAAATCATTCAGGGAAGTTGCCAAAGTACAGATTCTATATTTCCTGATTTGACCTCTTAGGTCCGAGTACACAGTTATTTCGTAGTGCATTTCTTTTAGACAATAAATTAAAATTAAAAAAATCCCACCTGCGCTTTCTCAATAATATTTTTACAGTGTGTTTTACTACTTTTGGGACAAATTATATCAAAATTATAGAAAACTTCATCGGCTCTAACTCAAAATATGGACAATTTTATGTTAAGGGGGTCTTGAAATCTTTTGACAGCTTCCGAAGTGCTAATTTTTAACCTTTTTCAGCTGGACCAAATCACTACTTTACTTTAAAATTCATGACCCAAATTTTTTTACAGTGTCATTTCACCCCCTTACTTGCTATTTGAGGCATAAAACATGGAGAAATAAATTTGGAAGGGGTATAAACAAAATTGGCAAGTAACACACTGTCCACACTAAGGACTATATTCGTGGACAACGAAAATCAAAGGACGATAACTGTGTACTCGGACCATGTCAGCTATGGAGATAGTTTTAAAAGTAATAAACAAAGTTAATCTATGTTAATGAATATAATACAATAGATGTTTAAGTACATGGAGGAAGGCATTTTAACATTAAATTCATATTATTCCACAGAAAAAGAAAAGGAGGGATTAAACTCGAAGGTGAAGTAGTTAATAAAGAAGAAACAGAGGAAGAAATTAAAGCAAGAAAAGAATTAGAAGAAAACATCAAGGAAGAACAGAAACTAAGAAAGGAAGAACAAGAAAAGAAAAAAGCAGATGATTTGTGGTCCAGTTTTATGTCAGATGTTGGGACCAGACCAAAACCCAAAGCATCACCCAGTCCTAGTGTAACATCATCAGCTTCAGCTGGGTCTAAGGTATATAAATATATTGAATATAGTTGTTTTCTTTACCTCTTAACTCATCTACTGTATCACTCAGGGATTAAACTTAACGGTCGCCCAATGTGACCAGATTTTTGGCTGGGCGAATATATTTATCATCCGGATCGCCCAGCTGACGACCGAAAATATTTTGCATTGAATCCCATGTCTATCCTTTCCCCCACGATATAAACAAAAATTGTTCCCAAACGGAAACCCGATTGTCTAATTAAAGCGGGAAAATGGAACGGAGGATTTCTGGAAACCAGTAAGCTCATTGTAATAAGCAAAACCCAGTGGGACAACTAAGTTTTCGATGGGAAGTCACGATTTGACACATGTATACCCCTTCTCTAAACACGTTTTCTAATTTCTTTTTATACACCCGTTTACGGGATGTATTATGGTAAACCATTGACCGTCCGTCGTCAACATGTCGGACATTAACTCAAAAACGCTTTAACCAATATGCATGAAACTTTGGTGAATTGTTTATATCTATTGACGTGAGCTCCCTTTCGTTTTTTATAAATTTCAATTTACCGTTTCTGAGTTTTGGGATTTTGTCCTTTTTTGACAAAAACTTGTATACACAACTTGTTCTTCAATGAAAAAACGAAACGCAAAATCTCATAAATAAATATAATAATATCTAGTATGCTAACCAATCTTCGATGAAAAGTAATTATATAATATTTTTGATCAACAATACACATAAATGAATTAATTGAATATATTGATATTTTAAATATTATCTATGTTATTAGCTTTTCTTGGATAATCATCAAAGTTGCAAGGACTGAAAGAGTTAGTTTAACATGTTCAATGATAATTAAAAATACTGCATACTGGTAATTATTCATATGTTGATAATTTCTTTTTTCAGGCAGCCACAAAAACTGAAGTAAAGGCCTCAGATAGCACAACTACAAATAAAAAGATAACTATCACAAAAGAATATGATTTTGCAGGAGAAATAGTAAAGTAAGTTGGTAATTAACAAGAAACAATATCATTGTCATCATTGTGAGATTGTTTAGTTTTGAATATTTATGATATCACTGTATCTTAAATAATGTTTAACTGTGAATTTCCCTGTGTTTGATATCTAAACATTTTATATCCCAGTTGCATTGTTCTGTTACCATAGTTACATGTTTCAAAATTTTGCATTTTTTTAATTGAATGAACATTTTCCAAACATATTGTCTTCCTTATGAAATTGTTATGTCTTATATCAAGAAATATCTTTGAATTGTTTTGAATAACCTCCTTCAGAGACCAATTCAAAAGGAAAAAATTTAAAAAAATGTATTACAGTAAACTGTCAGTTATTTGATGAAAGTGCATTGAGTTGTCTCCCATGATACAATTTACAAGTTACAAAGAAAATTAAGACAATGTAACACTCATGCTGAAATTTTTTCTTTCACAACAATGTTCAATGAGTATTTTTTAAATATACTGTATTGTTTTTGAAATATCCCTGTAGGTTAAATTTTAGGTTCTGAAAATGAAATGAATGCTAATTTTCTGTTAATTTTATAGATTAGATGGAGTTGTCTCCCATGATATAATTTATTATTTGAGAAAATTCCTTCCCTTTGTACAAGCCCAAAGTTTTGATTAGATATTTTATTAAAATTTAAGTGTCAGATTACAGTTTTTTGTGTGTTCTTTGACTACTATTTGTCCTCAATTTGAATGGTATTACTATAGATTCATTTTTATTTGTTGGATACCTATTTCCATGGATTTTGTGGGTATAGGTAACCCATGGATTTTGTGGGTATAGGTAACCCATGGATTTTGTGGGTATAGGTAACCCATGGATTTTGTGGGTATAGGTAACCCATGGATTTTGAAGTTTAACTAAGTACATGTACACATTTTTCATAGGCTTGTTTGCAGATTTTAACATAACCATGAAATTCAATATCAACAAAAAATTTAAATTTTCTTCAATCCACAAAAATTTGTACATGAACTATCCACAAAAATAAACAAATCCATAGGACTCTGACAGATAGATCTTTGATGCCATATCATGATAAACTTATGAAAACAGCTCATGTGAATACTGTGAATTACTGACTGCCAACAACTTCCATGTTTTAAATTTTCATAGTAGTAGAAGGTCTTAGCAAAAGTTCATCAAACAAAGGAACAAATTGGTGTTTCAAACTATCAGAATAGAATCAATATTGGATATATATATACTGGTATACGTGTATTAACTGTAGTTGATTTAAGGTAACATTAGCATTCTTATGGTACTTAGAATAAATATTTTTGACAATAATCTATCTTTCCTAGAGTAACAAAGGAGGTTGATCAAAATTCCAAAGAAGCTCAATCAGAATTGAAGAAGCAAGAATCTGTAGTGTCATCAACAGCTTCCCCTGGATTATCTGCAATGTAAGTTTAAATTTCAAAACTCTTATAAAATTGAAAATTGAAGATAATTTGTTAATGTATTCAAATAAAATATCCAGATCTGATTGTAAACTTTCAAAAACTACAGACTGTAATCACAAAGAAATTCAGTGAAAAATGCTTTTGGTGGTGAGTGACTAAATGATGGTAGCTTGTACATCTAGTAGATGGCAGTAACACACTTGTATATGAAACTTACATGTACAGGGAGATAAGAGCGAATCACTGTTAATAATGGTAACTGGTGATAATGACACACTTGTGTATGAACCTTACATGTACACAGAGAAAGTTAAGAGTGAATCACTGTAAATGATGGAAACTTGTGGTAATAGATGGCAATGACACACTTGTTTATGAACAGGCAGATATTTAAATTATAGATTGATTCATTCACAACCAGCTGGAAACAATCACTAACATGAGTGATTTTTTCACTGTTTCACCTTGTATGTACTGTCGACTAGACTTGTTTTTCATTTTGGACACACCATTTTATAGTGACACAGCTGCATCCATAAACATATGCATTCATTTTTATCATGGAATGTATCTGGATTATTATCATTCATCTTAGTCAAACCTGTTTAAACTGAATCTTCAGAACTAAAGAAAATGTCCAGATTATAGATATTCACAGTATATCATGATACAAGAGTTGTGTTTACTCAGGTTTCCTGTTCACCTCAGGGGTTTGCTTATGACACATTTCTTTGCATCTAGTCAATTCATGTTTTCAAAGTAAACATAAAAACTACTTTTCATATTTTTCAGTGGGATTAAAAGACCTGGAGGATTAGGAAGTGTATTAGATAAAATAAATAAAAAACAGAAAATCAGTACATTGGTAAGTATTTTATATATTTATTAGTTTTGAAATCTGAGTTTGCAAAGTCTGTTGGTCTGGTTATCAATTCACATCAGCTTCATCTTGTCCATGCAACTATTTTAACCTCTGTGTTAACTAGGAGTATTCATAATTTATTTAGAATAAAGAATTTTATAAATGGTGTGAAATTTCAAGGAAACATCAATGTAGGATCTTTTCTGTATTTTATGCCCTTAACAAAAACCAAATCATTTAACTCCAAGCTTATTCCCTTTTGACTTTAGGTTTGCACTCTGTCTGTCTGTCTGTCCATCCGTCAGTCTGGCAAATCAGTTTTCCACACTTTTTTTCTTTGTGCTTGAAGATATTGATATGATATTTTGTGTATTGTTTAATCATGACAAGTTACAGATCAAGTTCGAATTTTGTTCCGGTCCGATGATTTTGTGCAGAGTTATGGTCCTTGGATTCAGAAAATTCACTCAAATAATCAGTTTTCCGCACTTTTTTTTTGTCATGCATGAAGATATTGATTTGATAATTGGTATATAGTTTTAACCCTGACAAGTTACAGACCAAGATAGAATTTTGTTCTGGTCTGATGATTTTGTGCAGAGTTATGGCCCTTGGACTTAGAAAATTCACTCAAATAATCAATTTTCCGCATTTTTATAATAATATGATATAAGTTATATAGTTTACACCATGACAAGTTATAGATCAAGTTAGCATTTTGTTCCAGTACAATGAATTTTTAACCGGTAGGGGACTATGTATTGCCAGGCAATACTCACCGAATGCTTGTTATGTTATTTTTTCTTGTGTATTATTTCAGAATAAGTCTAAGTTAGATTGGGATCAGTTTAAGAAAGACAATAAACTAGAAGAAGATTTATCGTTACACAACAAAGGAAAACTAGGGTAGGTATAAAGTTAAAAAAAAAACAATTCCAGCTTGGAAAGTGGAAGAGACAGTTAGTGTTACTCTTGTCTATCTGATGCTTTGGTTCAATTCTGCCATAATTTGGTCCAATATTCAAAAATGATTATTCTCAACTTTAATCCTTTATAAAATATAAAACAATTCAACTACTGGTACATTTGAGTATCTTCAGTTAAATCTTGAATGTAAATTAATATCCCTGATACACATGTACCTTTTGTGTATACATGTATCACAAAAATCCTCTTGTATGTCATGTAAACAACACATTTCTGTATAGTTTGATTTAGACACAATGACCTACATAATTGGTTTTGATTAAGTTCTGTATGTTTAGAGCTGCATATCAGTAATTCCTGGTATGTTCAGTGCTGCATATCAGTAATTCCTGGTATGTTTAGTGCTGCATATCAGTAATTCCTGGTATGTTCAGTGCTGCATATCAGTAATTCCTGGTATGTTCAGTGCTGCATATCAGTAATTCCTGGTATGTTTAGTGCTGCATATCTGTAATTCCTGGTATGTTTAGAGCTGCATATCAGTAATTCCTGGTATGTTCAGTGCTGCATATCAGTAATTCCTGGTATGTTCAGTGCTGCATATCAGTAATTCCTGGTATGTTTAGAGCTGCATAGTGCTGCATATCAGTAATTCCAGGTATGTTTAGTGCTGCATATCAGTAATTCCTGGTATGTTCAGTGCTGCATATCAGTAATTCCTGGTATGTTCAGTGCTGCATATCAGTAATTCCTGGTATGTTCAGTGCTGCATATCAGTAATTCCTGGTATGTTCAGTGCTGTATATCAGTAATTCCTGGTATGATCAGTGCAGCATATCAGTAATTCCTGGTATGTTTAGTGCTGCATATCAGTAATTCCTGGTATGTTTAGTGCTGCATATCAGTAATTCCTGGTATGGTTTTAATACCATTCTACTACATTCTAGTCAGTATAAATGTTTAACAGGTGTCTGACACTCGAATGGGTATGGTTCAACAGGTATCTGACAATCGAATGACTATGGTTCTAAGGGTATCTGACACTTGAATGACTATGGTTCAACAGGTATCTGACACTTGTATGACTATGGTTCAACAGGTATCTGACACTCAAATGACTATGGTTCAACAGGTATCTGAAAATCGAATGACTGGTTCAACAGGTATCTGGCAATCGAATGACTATGGTTCAACAGGTATCTGACAATGGAATGACTATGGTTCAACAGGTATCTGAAAAACGAATGACTATGGTTCGACAGGTATCTGACACTCGAATGACTATCGTTCAACAGGTATCTGACAATCGAATGACTATGGCTCAACAGGTATCTGACAGTTGAATGACTATGGTTCAACAGGTATCTGACACTTGAATTACTATGGTTCAACAGGTATCTGACACTCGAATGACTATGGTTCTATTTTGTGTTTAGATTAGTTCAGATAGTTGCTATATATTCTAACATCTCATCTTTTAAGACAAATTGCAGACAGGTGTGATTTTTGTTGATTTGATTTATATATTAAAAGAAATTTAACATGGTTAAGGGAAGAGCATTATTCATTGCTAGTTGTGTTGCTTTATAAGAACAATTTTTAATCAATTACACATTTTTAGTTCTCTATTCTGGAAATGTTTAATGAAAATTTTGAGATATTATTTTTATTCTTTTGATTTACAGATACCTAGAAAGACAAGCATTTTTGAACAGAACAGAGCAAAGAGAGTTTGAGAAAGAGAGAGACTTAAGATTAAGCCAGAGTAGTAAAAGATAATGTCTTATTAACATCACAAAATGACAATGTACTTCAAAATCATTTCATTTGAACATATGGCTACAGTCTTTCAGCATGTTATTGATATCAGATGAAGGTGATCCTTGGAAAATGGAGTTTGATGTATGAGAGAAGAGAGTTAATATGTGTATGAGTTGAAAGCTTACAGTTGTCTTTATTGTATGAATATATGATGGCTAATTCATTGTTTGACTGAATGTGTGATTGAACATGTATTTCATCTGTAACAGAACATTACAATCATTAAATCTAAATGAAGCATCTCATTCATTACTATGTAAGTTGTCAGTGGAGCAATCATGTATCAGAGTGTTTTAGAAATATACGGCAATGATTAAGTTTTAATATATATGACGATTTTTGGAAACAATCATTTATAAAGTACATGACAGAAAAGACTAATGTACTTGATTTTGCATGTTTAAAAAGATAATATAAATTCCTTCAAGTTTTACACATACAACATAATCAACTTGATTCTTATAACAAAATTTGGCTCAAATGAAGTAGTCATTCAAAGTTAATTACTTTACTGTATATATATTTTAGTGACAATGAACTTCTGTTCTAAGAGTGTTCAAAGTTATCTCCCCTTGATGTGTTTTTTTGCTAATGTCCATTACAAAAGTCTGGATTTTACTATAAAGTTATTAAAAGACACAAGTATATCTCTAGGTAAGTAGATCTGGTTTGCTAGAGTGAAGAGCAACGGTGAGAAGATATATTTGTTTGTTGATCAATATAATATACAAAAGTTTACAGCTTGATAAGCAACTGTCTTAAGCTTAAGGGAGTATGATTGGATCATAGTGGTCTGGATATGTATTTGAAATAAAGAGAATGCTTATAAAGAAAAAAATGTTCATAAAAATTATCAAAATCAAGTATATGAGAGGTAAAATACTGTTTTTATTTTCCTAAGAAGTCACGGTGATCATTTGTAACAATAAATGTGTAAAAATCATCATTAAGTAATTGTTTCTGACTGTTTTATCATTTGTTATAATAAATTATGAATCTCCACAGGCTTAGTTTAGTTTATATGCATGCATTGGTTCATTAAATTCATTAGCATTATAACCTCCAGAAACTCCTGACGTAAAGAAGGAAAATTCAAGTATCAATATTCTATAAAGTCCATTTTCAAGATGGAAAGTGTTGAAATTTATGTTTAAACATGTGAGAAAAAGAAATTGAACAATTTTTGGACCAACAATACAAGTTTTGCTCAATGTATTGAGACTAAACAGAGAAACTGGTCAGCAAACCAAAACCTACAAAAATGCCTAATGATTTACTGACTACAACTCCCTGAGGCAAAGTTGACTTAAGACGAATTTAGCGTTTCTGTTTACGTCCTTTCTAGTCATATAGTTCCTAATGCTGCAGCATATTTATGACTTAAATGTTTTAGGTTTGAGCTTCCCTGATGAAATTTATGAAGTACTTATTTTATTTACAAGTACTTGATTCATACAGCTGCTGGTGGACTGTTAGTTCCCTATGGTATCATAATCTCAATAGTCAGTGCTTTTGGTTCCTGATGAAGGTAAACCCAGGAAACATTCAGACACATGAAATGTATAAAAGTATTTATTTTAAAATTTTTGGTGTTTATTTTTATTTTTATTTTTATAAAAAAATAATATGAGTGTAAATTTCATTAATGAGAGTTAATTATTTCATTAAATGACGATTTTTATTTTTCTTACCATTTTGAACTTTTTCTTTTATCAGAAATCTATTACTGTATAGATCATCAGATACTGTAAATAGTAAACAATGTTCAAAAATACAAAATCTACCCAAATGCCTATATGACTGAAAGTATCAATTGACTCCTTATTGGAGATATTGCACTTCAATCACAATGTTCATCAATTAAAGAATTGAAAGCCTATTACTTTCAAAAAAATAAGACATTGGCAGAAATGTATACAGCAAAACTGATCAGATCTATGTGTCGATGTGTCGAGGTGTCTATGTGTCTGTCATTTGAGACTACGTTTCAGGAATCGATAGAATATTTGATACAACATTCATATCATTGCAAATGTATGAATATGTAATTGGGTTAGGAACTACTTCTACCGTATATTACAGTTGAGTAACGGATCAACTGGAGTATACGGAAGAAATAGTTCTCATCAGCGGATTATTATGAGTTAATCGGCATTACATTTAATGGCTAATACGGACACACGGACACATCGACATATCGACACATCGACACATCGACATACAGACACATCAACACATCAACATATAGACACATCGACACATCTACATATAGACACATCGACATATAGACACATCGACACATTGACATTTTGAATTACTAGTATCTCAAATATTTGTTTGTTTTGTTTTGCTACGTAGGTAGTGTCAATTGGCAAACTAACGCCGTAGGCTATGTCAAAAGCAATATAGCGCCGTAGGCTGTGTATAAGAGCATCAAAGTTAGGGTTAAGGTTAGAGTAAGGGTTAGGGTTAGGGTTAGGGTTAGGGTAAAGGTAAGGGTAAGGGTTAGGGTTCATATTAGGGTTTAGCCTTATCCTGCACCGTAGGTTATTGCAAATTGTACTATAGCTACGTAGGTAGTGGCAATAGGCAAACTAGCACCGTAGTCTGTGACTTACATCAATCTTACGCTGTAAGCTGTGTTAATTAGCAATCTATCGACGTAAGCTACAAATGGCAATGTATCGCCGTAGGCTACATACAACTACTTTGGTTGTGTCAAAAGGTAATCTAACGCCGTAGGCTACATACAACTACGTTGGTTGTTTCAAATGGCAATTTAACGCCGTAGACTATGTCAAAGAGCAATCTAGCGCCGTTGGCTGTGTCAAAGAGCAATCTAGCGCCGTAGGCTGTGTCAAAGAGGCAATCTAGCGCCGTAGGCTGTGTATAAGAGCAATCTTAGTTAAGGTTAATGTTAGGGCAATCTAACGCCGTAGGCTATGTCAAAAAGCAATCTAGCGCCGTAGGCTGTGTCAAAGAGCAATATAGCACCGTAGGCTGTGTATAAGAGCCATCTTAGTTAGGGTTAAGGTTAGGATTAAGGTAAGGGTTAGGGTTAGGGTTAGGGTTAGGGTTTATGTTAAGGTTAGGGTTAGGATTGGGGTTAGGTTATGGTTCATGTTAGGGTTTAGCGTTATCTTGTACCATATGTTTTTTCAAAGTGTACTACAGCTATATCTCAGATATTTGTTTGTTTGTTAGTTTTGTTTTGCTACGTAGGTAGTGTCAATTGGCAAACTATCGCCGTAGGCTGTGACAAACATCAATCTTACGCCGTTGGCAGTGTTAATTAGCAATCTACCGCCGTATAAGCTACATACAATTACGTTGTTTGTGTCAAATGGCAATCTAACGCTGTAGGCTACATACAACTACATTGGTTGTGTCAAATGGCAATCTAACGCCGTAGGCTACATACAACTACGTTGGTTGAGTCAAATGGCAATCTAACGCCGAAGCTATATCAAAAAGCAAACTAGCGCCGTAGGCTGTGTATAAGAGCACTCTTAGTTAGGGTTCAGGTTAGGGTTAGGGTTAGGGTTAGGGTTTATGTTAGGGTTTAGCATTACCTTGTACCATAGGTGTTTTAAAAGTTTACTAGAGCTTTATCTAAGAATTCATGTACCGATACAAATTTGGATTTTCAAATGGTAAAATTTTTATAATTTTATTGAAGACGTTGCTACATTTTCGCCAGTTACAGTTTCTTCAACTTTCTGAAGTATTGTCTAATATACAATTAAAAGTCATTAAAAATGTCGATTTGTCGATGTGTCGATGTGTCGATATGTCGATGTGTCTATGTGTCTATGTGTCGATGTGTCTATGTGTCGATGTGTCTATGTGTCGAGGTGTCTATGTGTCGAGGGTGTATGTGTCTGTCATTTGAGACTACGTTTCAGGAATCGATATAATATTTGATACAACATTCATATCATTGCAAATGTATGAATATGTAATTGGGTTAGGAACTACTTCTACCGTATATTACAGTTGAGTTCAACTGGAGTATACGGAAAAATAGTTCTCATCAGCGGATTATTATGAGTTAATCGGCATTACATTTAATGGCTAATACGGACACATGGACACATCGACACATTGACACATCGACATATCGACACATCGACATATAGACACATCGACACATCAACATATAGACACATCGACACATCGACATATAGACACATCGACATATAGACACATCGACACATCGACACATTGACATTTTGAATTACTAGTATCTCAAATATTTGTTTGTTTGTTTGTTTTGTTTTGCTACGTAGGTAGTGTCAATTGGCAAACTAACGCCGTAGGCTATGTCAAAAGCAATATAGCGCCGTAGGCTGTGTATAAGAGCAATCAAAGTTAGGGTTAAGGTTAGAGTAAGGGTTAGAGTTAGGGCTAGGGTTAGGGTAAAGGTAAGGGTAAGGGTAAGGGTAAGGGTAAGGGTAAGGGTTAGGGTTCATATTAGGGTTTAGCCTTATCCTGCACCGTAGGTTTTTGCAAATTTTACTATAGCTACGTAGGTAGTGGCAATAGGCAAACTAGCACCGTAGTCTGTGACTTACATCAATCTTACGCTGTAAGCTGTGTTAATTAGCAATCTATCGACGTAAGCTACAAATGGCAATGTATCGCCGTAGGCTACATACAACTACTTTGGTTGTGTCAAAAGGAAATCTAACGCCGTAGGCTACATACAACTACGTTGGTTGAGTCAAATGGCAATCTAACGCCGAAGCTATATCAAAAAGCAAACTAGCGCCGTAGGCTGTGTATAAGAGCACTCTTAGTTAGGGTTCAGGTTAGGGTTAGGGTTAGGGTTAGGGTGAGGGTTAGGGTTAGGGTTTATGTTAGGGTTTAGCATTACCTTGTACCATAGGTGTTTTAATAGTGTACTAGAGCTTTATCTAAGAATTCATGTACCGATACAAATTTGGATTTTCAAATGGTAAAATTTTTATAATTTTATTGAAGACGTTGCTACATTTTCGCCAGTTACAGTTTCTTCAACTTTCTGAAGTATTGTCTAATATACAATTAAAAGTCATTAAAAATGTCGATTTGTCGATGTGTCGATGTGTCGATATGTCGATGTGTCGATGTGTCTATGTGTCTATGTGTCGATGTGTCTATGTGTCGATGTGTCGATGTGTCTTTGTGTCGAGGTGTCGAGGTGTCTATGTGTCGAGGAGTCGAGGTGTCTATGTGTCGAGGAGTCTATGTGTCTGTCATTTGAGACTACGTTTCAGGAATCGATATAATATTTGATACAACATTCATATCATTGCAAATGTATGAATATGTAATTGGGTTAGGAACTACTTCTACCGTATATTACAGTTGAGTTCAACTGGAGTATACGGAAGAAATAGTTCTCATCAGCGGATTATTATGAGTTAATCGGCATTACATTTAATGGCTAATACGGACACATGGACACATCGACACATTGACACATCGACATATCGACACATCGACACATCGACATATAGACACATCGACACATCAACATATAGACACATCGACACATCGACATATAGACACATCGACACATCGACACATTGACATTTTGAATTACTAGTATCTCAAATATTTGTTTGTTTGTTTGTTTTGTTTTGCTACGTAGGTAGTGTCAATTGGCAAACTAACGCCGTAGGCTATGTCAAAAGCAATATAGCGCCGTAGGCTGTGTATAAGAGCAATCAAAGTTAGGGTTAAGGTTAGAGTAAGGGTTGGGGTTAGGGCTAGGGTTAGGGTAAAGGTAAGGGTAAGGGTAAGGGTAAGGGTAAGGGTTAGGGTTCATATTAGGGTTTAGCCTTATCCTGCACCGTAGGTTTTTGCAAATTTTACTATAGCTACGTAGGTAGTGGCAATAGGCAAACTAGCACCGTAGTCTGTGACTTACATCAATCTTACGCTGTAAGCTGTGTTAATTAGCAATCTATCGAGGTAAGCTACAAATGGCAATGTATCGCCGTAGGCTACATACAACTAC